GGAAGGAAGGAAGGAGGGAGGGAGGGAGGGAGGGAGGGAAGGAAGGAAGGAAGGAAGGAAGGAAGGAAGGTGCGGAGGAGGTTTAGGCCGAAGCAAAGGTTTGTGGTGCAGAAGGTCTGTGTTTGTGGCGTGATTGTGTATTTGGATTCGGTGAGTCGTGTTGTTGAGATCCGCCAGAGGGTCCGTTTGCCTCCATGCAACCCCCATTTCCCTGAGTGTTCCATGTGCATGTGGTTGAGATGGTTGCGTGGCTTTGTTGTGGTTGTGTGTTTTTCATGGTTCTTGTATGTATTTGCAGCAGAATGGTTGTCTGAAATAGGTTTGGTGTTAAGATTGTTTGGTCGAGTGTGTGGTTTGTGTTTGTTGGTTGAAGGAGATTTCCTTGTCATGCATGTGTGAAGCTTAAAGCAGTGGCCCAGAGGTGTTCCTGTTTGCTGTGAGGAGGGCAGAGGCGCTGTGGGGGTGGAGGTGAGAGGCGGGGCTGTGTTTGAAGCAGTTGTCCAGTGTGCTTCCAAGGCCAAGCTGTGGTATTTCGTGTGATGAGAAGGTCTGTGATGAGAGCCGTGAGGCGGATGTCAGTGCAAGTTGGAGTATGCAAGTGGTAGGGCGTGTTGGTGAGAGGTGAGGTTTGGTGTGGGGCTCTGTGCGGGGGCTATGAGGTGAGCTTGTGGTGTTTTTCGGTCCCGCCAGGCTGTGAGCGATGAGGCCATGAGAGAGAGGTGTTGGTCAAGTCGTTTGTTTTGAAGTGATTTGTATGCCTTTCCGTTTGTAAGTAGTTGAGTGTTGTGTGGCACGGTCCCTATGGCAGGTGTGAGGTGGCCCAGAAAAGCGGCGAAGAGAACCAAGAGAACTGGGTGAATCAGAAAGAAAAGGAGAAGTTTCTTTGCGTTGTCGGGCGAGCCCCACTGGTCCCAAAGGTGGGGCGAGTGAATTTCGTGCCTCCAGGGAGGGAGGTAGGGAGGGAGGGAGGGAGGGAGGGAGGGGCATCTTTTTATTGAGGTGTTTGGTGAGGGCGGGGGGCCCGAGCTGAGGAAGTCTCAGCCGCAGGGGGTGAGCGGGGTATTGAGAAAGAAGTTAGTATGTGTGTGGATTCAGACAGAAGAAGCCGGTATCTGTGTCTGGCATGTTGGTCTGTGAGACATTCCAGGGGAAGTCCATTGTCTCATGACATGTTTGCATGTATCTGACCCTGGGCTCTCTCCGACGTAACAGTTGGCAGTGGCAAGTGTGTCCCTGCTTGCTGATGCTGTAGGCGAGAGAGACAGAGGTGTTGTGTGAAGATGTCCTTTCTTTGAGTGCATTTTGCTTGGTAAGCGTTTAGTATTGTCCGGGAAGAAAGTGAGTCCCATCTGTGTGTGGTGTGTGTGTTAGGTCGGAGAGAGCCCAGATCGGATACATGCAGACATGTCACGAGATAATGGACTCCCCTCCCCCTGGCATTTCTGGCAGATCAGCATGCCAGACACAGATACTGGCTTCTCCCTGAATCCCCAGCAATCCCCATACCGATACTGACTCATTCCTGAATACCTGGCTGACCCCCCTGCAGCTGAAACTTCCTGAACTGAATACCTCAGGTCATGTCCCCGCCCCTCACCCAACCGCAGTATAAAAACAGCGCCCCCTCCCTGTTGGTGTGAATCCACGTGCCCTGTCTTTGGGGGTACGTGGGTCTCCCGGGGACGCAGAATAAACTTTCCTTTCCTTTCTTTTCTGATTCACTGGACTCTCTATTTGTTGCGCCGCCTCCTGAGGCATCTAACCTAACAGTGTGATTTTGTTGTGCAGCCAGTGTCGTGTGGAGTTGAGTAGAAGGCATCCGTTTCCAAAGCCCAAGAGAAGAGGGCATTGGAGATGTTGGCCAGAAATGTGTTTGCAAGGCGTTGTTTGGCAGCGCTGGGGTTCCCTAGGGCCGAAGGTGGATGGATCGGTGGATGGGCCATTGTTGAGGGGATGAGGGTGGAGGTGTGTGGCTCCCTGCAGGCATGGCCATGTGGGTTTGTGGAACGGGCAGGTGATGGTGGTGTGTGGTGGAAGTGGTGTCTGTTTGGATGTGATTAGGTTTGCCATGGGGAGGAACGGTGAGGTTTTTTGTTTGGTGAGGGAGGCGTCTGTTGTTTCGGGCCTCGTTTTTGTGGAGGTGTGTGTTCAGAGGGTGCAGCGCTCGCGTGGGTTGTGTGGGACGGAGCCTGTCCGGTGGGACGAGGTGCGTGTGGGCCGGGAGAGAGGGCTGAGTGTGGTGCGTGGCTGTGAGGCCCGATGGCAGGGACGTTTGTGAGGAGCCAAGGCAGGTGAGATGGTTGGTTGTTGAGTGATGTCAGGAAGCTGAAGGTTGTGTGGCGTGTCGCCAGGACAGGCGGTGTGTGTGTCCCAGGGCCGGTGAACGGTAGCCTGTGGTCCACTCGGGGTAGGGTGTGGTGAGAGGCGTCCGTTTTCTTTGGAGCCTAGATGAAGACGGGCAGGTGTGGTGGGGCAAGGGAGATGTGACCGTGTAGGAGTGAGGAGGCGTGTGTCCCAGGCGCTGAAGCTGTTTGGGAGTAGCAGGTGATGCATTGTGTTGTTTGTGAGGCTGAGAGGCCATGTCCCCTGAGAGTGCAGGTTGTGTGTAGGGATCCCAGTGGGTCCGTGTCCTGATGAGGAAAGGGAGGCCCTGCGAGGCGGTTGTTGTCCCCAAGGTTGAGGGATAGGTGCAGTTTTGCTGGATGGAGACATGGCGTTGGTCCCCGTTTTTCCAGAAGTGGGTTTTGAGGTGATTTGTGTGTGGGCAGTCATTTTGCTGAAGGGCAGTGTTGAGTTTGGGTGAGCCGATTGGAATGTGTCCCCTCCGGGTATGCGCACACAAGTCTCCGCCCCGCAAAGTTCCGCCGAAAAGTTCCCGGCGCTGCCAATCCCGCCCAAAGTGCTTTAAAAGCCGGCGACTCCCCTGACTGGTTTTTGTAGGCATTGCAGCTGAGCCACGCTTTGTGCGGCTGATGGGATGGATGTTGAATGCCTGAGCCGTGTGTCGTCGTGCGTTGTTCGTGGGGCAAGCGACCCACCCGTTGTCGGCTGAGGTAAGTGGTTGAGTTGTGTGGTGATTTTGTTGTCCTGTTGGTGTGGGAGCGGGTGTATGTGTTGTTTTTGGGTGCTTCGTTGTGCAGGCGGTGGCGTTTTTGGAGTGTGGTTTGAGTGGGTGGTGAGGGAGAGGTGTGTTTGGACGTGTGTCTTTTGTGGGTGTGTGGTGGAGCATGTAGGTGGGCTGTGCGTGCCGTGTTGGTGTCGAAGTGTGTTTCTGAGCCGACCAGGGTGTTGTTTGGCATGTGAGCCTGTGGCCATGGGTCCTCCGTTGCGCGTGTGCAAGTGTCCTTAACCTAGTAGAATTGTAAGAGCGCGTGATGATCGCTTTCTTTTTTTTTTAAATATGTTTTATTGATTTTTTCCATAGAGGAAGGGAGAGAGATAGAGAGTTAGAAACATCGATGAGAGAGAAACATCGATCAGCTGCCTCCTGCACTTCCCCTACTGGGGATGTGCCCGCAACACAGGTACATGCCGTTGACCGGAATCGAACCTGGGACCTTTTAGTCTGCAGGGAACCTGGGATCCTTCAGTCCGCAGGGAACCTGGGACCCTTTAGTTCGCAGGGAACCTGGGACCCTTCAGTCCGCAGGCCGACGCTCTATCCACTGAGCCAAACCGGTTTCGGCAATGATCGTTTTCTAAAAGGTCTTTCAGACTTTGTTTTTTCCCCTCCCTCAGTTTTCCGTCCCTCTGTGCCTTCATCTGTGCCTGTGCTTCCAAGATGTTCCGTGTGAGAAGGTTGCGGGAAGGCCGATGTCCCCGCTGGCTGTTGGCTGTGATGGCAGAGGCCAGGTGGGTGCCATGGCAGTGTCTTTGGTGCCGTAGGTTTTGATGGGGGAAGGAGGAAGGGAGGGAGGGAGGGAGGGAGGAAGGAAGGGGAGCAGAGAAAGAAAGATGGATGTGAGAGATTGTTGAATTGTCATTGTGAATTTTCTAGAGTTGTGTTGAGTGTTGTATGTGTTTGTTTTTCATGGTTGTAGGTGGGAGCCCTCGTTCTGATGTAGGTCGTGTGTGTTTGTGTGAGTGTGTGTGGGGTCCTCCCGGCATGGTGGGTGTGGGGACTATGGGTGTTGGTGTGTTTGTGCCGTGATCCTTGGTGATGTGGGATTTTGATGGTCGTCGTCTGGTCCCATTGTTTGCACAGTAGTCGTGTGGGCAGGTGTTGGAGGGAGCCATGGCGGACCGGTGGAGGTGGTGGTGAGTTGTGAGAGCCCTGTGCCAGGTGCCGTGCAGGCGTGTGAGGGCCCCCCCCGCCGCCAACAGTGTTTGTGGTGTGGTTTGGGTTCCTTCCCACTGTGTGTGGTGAAGGCTGTCGGAGGAGAAATGTTTTTCGCTTCCTTTTTTCAGGGCAAGTCATGTATGGAAGCTGGAAGTTCCGGTTTTGCTATCCAGGCGAGGTCGTTGCTCTTTGGAGCTTCCCTTTGCAGTTTTCGTCCTTGGGTGGATGTGTTTCTGCCGTGAGCAGGTAAGAAGGTGTTGTGCTTGAGAAGGGTGAGCGTCGGTTCAAGTGACATGAGGTTCCGAGAGCAGGAGCGTTTGCTGAGATGGCCATGTCGTGTTGTAGAGGAGTTGAGCGCCATGGTATTGTTATGGAGCCACATTTGCCAGAATCAGACCACCGACTCCCATGAGGTCTTCAAGAGCAAGCGAGGATTTATCGAGTTGGCCAGCGAGTATAGTGACAGCACCCTGCCGAAGCAGAGGCTGAAGTGCAGTGCTGACTCTAGGAGTTGTATTTTATAAGCCAATTGTGTGGAGGCCCAGAGAAAAATGTGTCTTTGAAGTTCTGGGCCTCCACTACGGAGGAAACTGTGTGTTTATACTTTTTGCAGTCCTTTGTCTTCCCAATTTGGAATGAGACTTCCGGGCCTTCGGAGAAAGAAGGCCTCTGTGCCGGGAAGGGGCCAGGAGAGCCTATCTGAAGGCCTGGCCCGATGTGAGTCCCTTCCTATGCGTGTGTTTCAGGAACCTACAGCACAGCATGACCCGTCTGCCAAAGCGCCAGATAGGCAGCCCACCCAGCACAGTATGTGTGGCAGGATTTTAGCGAGCGAGCATGCGAAAGAGTGACAGGTGAGCCCATGAGGATGTGTTTTGTGTTTTTGTGAGAAAGGCTGCGTCCTGTCGTGTTGTTGAGTGATTCCCATTCTGTGTACGTGTTTGTGGATGTGCATGTGTCCCATGTGGACCTGCTCAAGTCTTGCCGTTCCTTTTTGTAGGTGAAAAGGAAGCAGGTACGTGTTTGCATTGGATGGCTCAGAGCAGGAGGTTTCCATGGCGGTTTGTTTTGAGTCTGTGCCGCTGGTGCCGGTGCGTTGCGTGCGGTGCTGAATGGGATCCCGTGTGTGGAGTGTTGTAGGGGATGGAGAGGGTGGGTCATGGAGGACCCTGTCGTCCCCTGAAGTTTTGCCATATGCCGTGAAAGTTGGGAATTCTGGACGTTGGCTTTGTGTTTGTTGAGTTGGGACAGATAGATAGGATTCCTGTGTGTGTGTGTGTGTGTGTGTGTGTGTGTGTGTGTGTGACTGATGTTTCCTGTGTTGGCACTGATGTTGTGTGATATGGTGCAGTCATGTAGTATTTGTGAGGAAGACTCGAATGTTGCGCTTGGATCCCTTCGGTTCCTCTCTGTTGAGCTGGTTCATGGGGATGCTGGTGTGTGTTTTGATCTTTGCTGAGTGTGGTCAAGCCTAAGTGTGTCGTGCACCTCCTGGGTGAGTGTGGGTTCCTTGATTGCTGGGAGGTTGTGTGTTCCTGTGTGCTAGGCATAGGCGGTGTTTTGTGTCCTTTGTTCCCTGGGTCATGAGAGGTGTAGGAAGTGGATGTTATTTGGAAGTGAAAGGAAACATTCATGTTCTGTGGCACGCCAATGTGCAGGAAAGCGCTGCCTGGATGGGTTGTCTTTTCAGTGGAGCCTCCGTGTGCCCGTGTTGCCTGTGAGTCGTTGGTCCCCTGCAGCGGATGTAGGGTGGCACGGAACAGGAGCGTTTGGCCTGTTGCCTTTGGCAGTATTTTGGAAGCACAGGCCAGTGTCTGACATGAGGTGTGTATGCGGGTCATCGCAAGCGAGTTTTTCACGTCAGCAGTGGCTAAAGGAAGAGTATCCACACAGTACGCTGTGAATTTTCTGTCCCACCAGGGGTTGTGAAAGGCTGCCTGTTTTGCAGGGGTTCCCGTCACGTGGGGGCAAGAGGGCAAGGGAGTTTCGGATGGGAGAGGAAGGTTCCAGGACTGTGCAGGGTGTGAAAGGCCTTTGGGTAAAGCAGGCTTGGGGAGGTCCCTTGCTAGGAAGGGTTTGTGATTGTTTTTTCCGCAGAATCCTTGTTTCTTGTGGAGTGTTGGGTGGTGTTTGAGGGCAGGAGTCCCATGTTGGAGTGAGAGCCAGTATGTGATGAAGGGAGCGTCAGGCCATGTGAAGAGCGTGTTTTGTGCTTGGAGCTAGGGGAGTCACGTGAGACCATTTCTGTTGCTTGTGTTAGACATGTGTTTTTTCTCCTCGTTGTCATGCCATCTATTTCTCAAGTTTTCTGGCGGAGTGGGGTATCCACATGGGTTTCTTGTCTGTTCAGTGTTCTTTAGCCTCTGTCTTTTCTATTTAGGGAGACAAAGTCCTTTTTTGCGTGTCCTACAAGCTGTCCATGCAGGTTTTTTTGCAGAGCATGGCTTTTTTGTGCGGTTTCTTTTGAGGGGTGCCTGTCTTTCCTCCTTCTGTGGTGTGTGAAGAGTGTGCTGTCCGTGACCGTTCCCTCGTGGAAGCCGCAGCGGTGGTGGAGCTCCCAGGCTTTTGGGGGTGTGTGATGGATAGTGATGATCGTCTTTTTTAAGTGTCTGGGATGTGTGTTGCCTGGATGTCCCCGAATGAAAGAAGGTGGAACGATGTGGATGTCCTTGTTCCGATGGCTTTCTTTTTCCATGGTTTTTTCTGCCATTCATCCATGCATATTGTTTCTCAAAATGCACAGTGTGTGTCCTAAGGCAGTGTCATGCATGGGAACTCTATGGACCTTGTGTGGAATGAATTTGAAGAGGGTAATGTCCATGGAAAAGAAGGGAGGGTGAGAGGCTGAATGGAGTGGTCTGATGTTGGCAGGTTTTTCCCTGAAACTCTATTTTCTGGATTGTGTCACAGAGAGGAATGGAGAGGGAGCGGCATGGGATGCAGAGGTTGAACATGGATGATCTACCTTCCTCACAGCTTGACCTGGCGACGGCTGTGCCTACCTGAAAGGTACCCATCTGTGGCTGTCATGGAATCTGGGATATTTGATGATGCAGGCCGATGCTCTGTGCAGTGATCCAAAGCGGTGTGTGCCTATGGTAGTGTTTGAAGTGGCATGGGCATGTTTTTGAACTTGAGTGATTTAGAGATGAAGTCCAAGTGGGTTGGTTTTGGGAATTCTAAGGTAGCCAAGGATGTGTGTGAATGTTTACAGGATGGATGAGCTCTTGCTGTTCTAGAATTGTGCAGCTGAGAGAAACAGAGAACGAATAGGGGCATGGCGGATGAGTGTGTTGCGGAGGGAGGCTTTCGTGGGTCATGGCCCGAAGATGTTTTTCCCCTGTCGAGCGTGCCTCCTTGTTGATTGTGGTGGTCTGTGGCGTAAAGAGCCTTGTGGTTTAAAGGGGTGCGGTGCCCGTCCCCATGCTGCAGGTGTGATCTGTGTGCCTGTTTGTGTCCCATGCAGGAGAGGAGGCAAGATCCTCCCTAGGTGTGGTTTTCTTCCATGGACCTGTTCTTCTTTCTCTGTTGCCCTTGTGTTGTGGTGTCCAGGTGCATGGGATGCCAGTGTCATGAGCTTTGAAAGGAAAGATAGATGCTCATCTAATATGTGCGTGGTTGTATTTTTGTAAGAGCTGTTATTTGTTTCCCATGAAAAAAATAAGTCTCTATGTGAGTGCCCTGCATGTGTGGTTTTGGAGTGTGAGGAGGTCCTATTGTGCAGGAACTCATGTGAGCAGTGGCTTCCACACATGGTTTTTGTCAGATTCATGTTATTCTGATCCTGCTATGTTTTTTTTTAGGGCTGCCTGCCGTTTCCATGTGTGTGCTTCATTATTGCAATGTGTGTCAGGGCCATCCATGGGAGTTTTGTGTGTGTGTGTCCCAGCATCTGTGGATTGTATGTCCCCTGGCACCCTAGAGGAGTGGCGTGTTTTGGTTCTGTTCCTGGGTGTGCATGTCACCCTTGGAAAGTGTGTTGTTGGAGCCATGCATGGCCTCCCACAGAGGGTCCATCTGTCCAGTTGTGTGCGGTTATAGCCCCCTGCAGGGAAGCCTGTTGTTTGTTCTCACAGGATTGTCAGGCAATGGCAGAGTGTTTCTGTCATCTTTCAGAAAAAATGGAAGTAGAAGACAGCATGTCTGTGTTGCCTGGGTTCCTTTCCCGCTGTTTTGGTGTGTAGGTTTTGGATGCAGTGCTTCAGTGAGAGGTGGATCTAGAGGAGCTATGGAGAGCATGAAAGTTGAATAGAACACCCATGTTTGGAAAGGTCATGGCTTGGGGATGCAGTGTTCTTGTTGTGTTTGTGACTTGAGAAGGACATTCCTTGGTTCGGCCCAGAGTCTCTGAGGAGACCTATGAGGGAAGATGTGTAGGAGATGTCACCTTAGTAGGCAACCATCACGGGCAGATGGGTGGCAGGGATGGGGGGCTGTTGACCCTGTTAGGGAAACCTTGCCGAGACTGACATTTGGGTTTGTAGGTTTGTGTTTTTCCAAAGACTGTTGCTTAGCCTTGAAAAGCCATCGTCCCTGCTACCAGTCCAGTGTAGGCAGCCCTGGAGTGTGTTATATCATTGTAGTAAGTGAAGTCCATTCACAAGGGATCACCCTCTTGCAGAAGAGGTCCTTGTTGCACCCAGGATCTTAAAGCAGGTTGAAGTGGTTTAGTTTATTTTGAAGTCCATGGTAGTGATATTTGATCACCTGTAGGTGTCTAGAGTAGGGTATCCCCTAGGTCTGTATTTGTTTGGAGTGTTATGAAGTCTATGTGTTGGGTGGGTGGGTGGTTGAGTGAGTGAGTGAGTGAGTGAGTGGTTGGGTGGGCGGGTTGCTGGTGTGGGCAGGGGTAAGGAATGGGTTTTCTGTGGCTCAAGTTCTGTTAACATGTTGTGTATGGATTCTACTCATAGACATTTCTGTTTTCTAGGTCTGTGTGCCTTTCCTGGTGGCCATGTTGTCATGACCGAGGGAGGTTGCTGTTTTTCTGGAGGGATCTGTGACTTGTTTTGGAGGGGCCTGTGCCCCCGCCCGCACCTGGCCAGCGTGGAGCGACATGTGCTGTGCTTGTGATGCCCCAGGGTCCCCCTCATGGTGTGGCTTCTTAGAGAAGGGAAGCTGCTACTGTGTGTGTTCACCGCCATGTATCTGTGTTGCTTGTGTCTGTGGGGAGCTGACATGTTTCCCATAGGACCTGTGAGCACTGTGTCATTTGTGAGTGAATTGTGTGGTTTCCTATGTTGTTAGTGTCCATATGAGCGTGCATATACACACCCACAGACACACACAGACACACACACACACACACACACACACATACACACACAGTGTATTGGTTGTGTGGGCTCTGAGGATCATTGTTGTTTTATTTCAAGGGTAGAAGAGGGTGACAGAATATGCAGACTGGGAGAGCATTGTTTGGGGCCCATGGAGTTGTGTGCTTATAACATTTCTTTCCAAGTGTGGGTACTGAGTCCACATGGAGGGGTTGGATGTCTCCTATTGTGTGTTGATGTTTCTGAGCCCTTGAATCATAAGCAGCACAGTTTCGTGTTCACCCAATGTCCCCTGAAGTACTTCATCTCGTCTCCCCATCAGCCCTTCTTTAGTTGTAGTTTATGCACCTCATTCAATCTTGTGCGTCACGTCAGCTGCACTAGGTTGATTGTGTGTTTGGTTTGTGAAGCGTCCATATACCTGTAATCTTGTGTGAAGGTGGGCCCCATCCTTTCAAGTGCTCATCTGTTCTGTTGTCCCTCTCGCATGTTTCTTGGAAGTGAAGAACCGAGGGGATTCCTCTGTGGAGTCACCGATGGATGATCTCACGGTGGTTGGCATGGTTTGTTGGAAGCTGTGGACACATATGGCACAGCCTCCTTTGTTGTGTCCCACCAGCTGCCCCCCTCCCGCATCTAGTTTGGTCCATAGAGTGTTGTCCCTTGGCCCCTGTTTCCATAGAAGTAGCAAGTAGGCATCTGTGCACACCCTTACCATGTGAAGGTCGGGTTAGCATTTACAGGGGCAGCAGGATCCTCACCTGTGATTAGTGGTTGCATGAATGCCTGTGAAAGCGGCCCCCGCCCAGTGTCAACTCAACTGGATTGCAAAAATAGTGGAGCACCCACCTGGTTATGCTTTTTATTGTGGAGGAATGAATGCATTGTACAGTCCTGTGCCCAAATCCCAGTTGGCCCAGTTCCTCACTGCAATTTGTTTGTTGCTCACCTGGGCCATACGTGATCATTTCTTTCCTCATCCAACATTTGCCTCCCCCTCCTCACTGTAGCCTGTTTGGGGTCAGCATATATTTGCTCCAGTTCGTGTGTAAAGGCAATGTGTGACATGGCAATGTGTAGCTGGGAGTCCCAGTGTAGGTCACTTCTCATTGTGCCATACTGCCCCCCCCCAAAGTAGTTAGTTCCTCCTTTTTACTTGTCAAGTGCCTGTCCTCATGCCCTGCTGCGATACCGGTTCAAGGGGTGGATCGTTAAGGGGTGGATGGGCTGCCGTCATCCAGGCAGTTGCAGTTGAGGAAAGCCTGTGAGTGTACCTCCCCTCCCCCTATCCACGCCCGGGTCTTTCGAGGATGGCTCTGAAGTGCGGTGCCAGGTGCCTGTCCCACCGTCCTGCCGGAAAACCACCATGTCCGATGGCCACTGGTCATCCTGTAGCTTATTGGCGGGACGGGGTGGCTTTGTTCTCTGGAGTGTCCATCCACGGTCCTGCCCACCGCCCCCCCTCCCGTGGAGGTCCTGTGGCTGGGCGGTTTGAAGCGTCAATCATACGGCCATTCTGAGCGAAGGCAGCATGTGTTTTACGAGGAAAAAAAGGTTCGACTCTGACCTGTCGTCCTTGCAAAGGTCGGCAGTAGCGGCACCTGTGTCCAAAAAGCCTGCCCTCGCCGCTGGTGAGCGAAGGTCTGGTCTTCAGTCAACT